GGGATACTGGCGGCCATACCGGCCAACGAGCTAAAACACTCGTTCGACATGCTTTTGGATCGTACAAAAAGCTGTATTAAAGCAGAAGGAGACTATTTTGAATAAAATCAATTGATTTTGCCGATAAAACCATTTGTTCTGTCTTTTTTTTAAAAAGCCCTGTTTACTTTGGAACGCACCTTGTATAACTCTATATCTAACACGATTAGTTTTAGATGATACAAACAACCGTTAGGTGAACAAAACTATTATACTCTGTAGCAACAAGTTGCGAGAGTATTAAAACAAAAAACTTACCGATTTAAGTCAAATATATGCCGTTTTTTTCGTAAACTTGTTGCCAACGACATGCCAACTTCATTATACCCCTCTCGTAGAATGCTGCGTCCCTATTGGCAAAAAACTCGGAGAGCCAATTTTCACAGGCCTCTCTTGAGGCCAACTTCTCATCATTAAGCGCGTTCGCCATGGACAGGAAAAGATGGTAATCGCTTGGTTCCAGGTCCGGACTATAAGGTGAGTGCATTAGGACCTCCCATCCGAGCTCCAGGAGCTTCTGGCGAGTCACCAAAGACTTGTGTGGCCTGGCGTTGTCCTAATGGAACACAATTTGCCCTCTGTTGATCAAAGATGGCCTCTTCTGGATGAGTGCTGCCTTCAAGCGGTCTAGTTGTTGGCAGTAGAGGGCCGAATTGAGCGTTTGGCCATAGGGAAGAAGCTCGTAATAGATGATTCCTTGCCAATCCCACCAAACACACAGCAAAACCTTCCTGGCCGTCAATCCGGTCTTGGCTTTGACCACGACCGTTTGCGCCCGATGTTGTCGTAAGTGACCCATTTTTCATCGCCAGTCACAATCCGCTTCAGAAACGGATCGATTTTTTTTCGATTCAGCAGCGATTCGTAGATGGAAATTCGGTCCATCATGTTTTTTTGCGTTAGTTCGTGTGGCACCCAAACATCGAGCTTTTTTTTGAATCTAAGGTTATGCAAATGGTTCCAAACGGTTTTCTGGCTTATCTTTAGTTCCTCAGAATTAAATTAGTGCTCACGTGACGGTCTGTTTCCACTATTTCCATGATTTTATCGCAATTTTCGACGACAGGTCTCCCGACGCGTGGTGCATCTTTGACATCGAAATTACCGGAACGGAACCTAGCAAATCACTTTTGTGCTACACGTTCGTTTACAGTATCGGGCCCATAAACTAAATTAATTTTTTCAGCCGCTTTGGCTGCTTTTTCGCCTTGATCGAAGAAAAATTGTAAAATATAGCGAATTTTCTCTTTGCTAGTGTCCATCTTTGACGAGCGCTCACCACGTACTGAGTCAATCAATCGAGAAACTGACAAACTTTAGCGCGAATAAACACGTTTTCAGCCGCGTATAGTATGACATGATGTGACACATAACACTAGTACTATGGACAATAACGCCATCTCTTAGATAAAAACCGAACGAACCTTTTACTGGACCTAATATAAAGCAGTTATTCCAACTGGTAATAATTTATTGACATCGACGGAAGTGGCCGCGATCAAGGTGGCGGTAGAAGTACTGTTACGTAGTGTATCTTCGTTTAGAGAGGTGAGCATTCACTCCGACAGCAGAGCGGCAATACAAGCCCTGAGTGCGCGAACCGTGCATTCAAAGCTAGTCAAGGAGTGTCTGTCCTCGCTAGAATTAGCATCAGGCTACTTCAATATCAGGCTCGTTTGGGTGCCTGGTCACAGCGGAATCGCTGGGAATTGCAAGGCCGATGAGCTGGCCAGGGGGGGTACCCTTGCCCCGCTCACATCGGAATGGGATCGAGTTGGTTCTCCACTAACGTCTTGCATTCTCGCTCTGGACCAATGGACCTCGCAGGAGCTCAGCAGACGCTGGTCGGCGACCAGCTCCTGCGCGACTGCGCGATCCTTCTGGCCGAGAGTGGATCGCAGGAGGTCGGGGGATCTTCTCGCCTTGAACAAAGTTCACCTCGCCGCCATGGTAGGAGTTCTCACTGGGCACTGTCCAATGGGAACTCATGCGGTGCGGCTTAGAATACTACCCGATGGCAGTTGTCAAAGCTGTATGGAGGAGGGTGAAGTGGAAACATCCCGGCACTTTCTCCTCCATTGTCCGGCTTTTGCTAGGTTGAGATTGAAACATCTCGGCAATCATACTTTTGGCGGTCCAGAAGATCTGGCCGAAACAGATATTGGCCGTCTCAACAAGTTTGTCATAGGCACAAAGCGCTTTGTCGACATGTAAGGGTCTATTGATCCGGCTCATAGGAGTTTTGGGTACCACAACGGACTGGCGTTTAAGCTGTCCAAGTGTGATCCTTCTTAGGATCGACCCGCTATACTAACCTAACCTAGACTTTGAACAAGCAGACTCAATAAATAAAAATATATTATATTAACTAAAAAATATTACACATGGAATTCGGAAAAAATCTGGTTTTCCAATAGGGATGATATTCAGTAATATTCACAGTTTCATCATGGAACGATATACGCAAGAACAACTTTTCGTGCGCTTTTGCCATTTTATGGTCGTTATGATTATAATGAATGATGCGGTAAATAAACAAAACTGTCGATTCTGGTGCGAAGAAAAACCACAAATTTTAATGAACAACCATTACATTCACCTAAATTGACAGGTTGGTGTGGTTTTTGGTTTGGTGGAATAATCGGTTCATACTTCTTTCGAAATGAAGCTGAAGCGACTGTTACTGTCAATGGAGAGCGGTAAAGATCAATGATAACCAACTTTTTATGGCTGCGATTGGAGGAAGTTGATCTTGACAACATCTGGTTCCAACAACACAGCACGTGCAACAATCGAGTTATTGCGAGAAGAGTTTGGAGATTCGACAATTTCAAGAAATTGTGACATTGAATGCCTTCAAGAAGTGGTGATTAAACAGCATTAGACTACTTCTTGTGGGGTTATTTGAAGTTTTTGGTCTTTCGCAATAAACCAGACTCTCTCAAGCTTTAGAAGTCAATATTGAACGTACTATTCATGACATACGAGTGATTTAGTATCAATTATACTTCACATTAAATAAAAACATATGAATTTCCTTAATAATACTCTTTATTTCGTAATCAGTTCTAAATCACACGAGTAAGCAACTGTTTCAAGCTATAATTTTTTGAATTTATATACAAAATCCAGAGCCATTGGATAAGAAGTATGTTATATGTATACTGCGCACTGCTTTATAACACGTACTTAGTAGTTGGAAAGACTGAGCTATATTATAAAGTCAAATTTTTTCACTGAGACAACGCTTATCCAAAAATGGTTTGAGTGTGATGATCTCCATAACTCCGGTTGACTTTATGGAGAATATACCGGTAAATACATGCAGTATCTTAATAAAATTATGTAAGCTTTATACAGGGTGATCTATTTCGAGGTTCCCTACTTCAAATTTAATGGGGAATGTTTATTATCATTCAAAAGAACATTCTTTGGCATTTATTTCTTAAAGATTATCTGTTTCAAATGTTGGCAGCGGTTACATCTCAGATGGTCCATCCCTTGAGTCTAATTTTCAATGACATGTTCGAGCAAAGTCATGAGCTTCAAGTTTAAGCTTCAAAAATAGTCGGTTATCATGGCGCGATAGCGGTCGCCATTGACGGTTACGTTCTCACCAAAATCATTTTTGAAGAAATATGGACTCATCGCCAGGCCCACAAACCACACCGAATCTTTGTTTTTTCTGGATAAAATGGCAGATATTTAATCTGTTCAGGTTGCTCTTCGTCCCAAATGCTTTTGGCTCGAAAACGTCGGTTCTTTTTGGAACTTTTCAAGAGCCCAAGTCGTTCTATACGTCAGTCGGAGTTGCTGCAAACGTCGCCGAATCGACTCTCCACGGTCTTCGTGTACACTCTTAGCTACGGCCGCTATATTTTCTTTACTGCGTGCTGGACGTGGTCTATTCGGTCCAATATTATTCAATCATCATCATCTCAGTAGGTTGATTATGTTGATCATAAGTTGAACGAAGCGCGCGAAACACATTCTATATAGAACGTGAATTTTCGTAATAAAATTGAACGATTAGTTTAAAGTATTTTAATACATTTGCATATTGTCACTCGGCATAAAAACTAGCTTTACCAGTTCAAGATTAGGCCTTAAATACGAAATCTGACTAACACAAATCTATATTTTCCTATTAATGCTATTGGAAGGTATGGACTAGTATAACTTATTTTTAGCTTGGCGACGGATGTAAAAAAACGCAGAAAGAAGTATAACGAAGCTGGGACCTGAAGCCATCTTCAAGAGCGCTGTAAACTAGTAAATGCCAACGAATATCCTTCTTAGCGCACATGATTCTGACACTAGTGTCATCGAAAGTTTCGTAGTTTGTAACAACATCGCCACTATGTTTATAACGTTAGCAACGTATATGTTAAGTAAAGTCCATTCTAGAAATGTGTGGAGTGTAGAAAGCTTCTGCGAAAGATCGAAAGAGTATTATGTATGATTACCTATGTGACTACTACGTGCCAAAACGACGCAGACTTAAAAGCTTAACCTTACGTATACTCCTTCTACCGGCAACAGTCTTATGATACTTCTAAGCATTATTGACGAAATATATAATCTCAAAATGCATAACCCAATATTACATATACTTAATATAAAGAATTTATACAATATATACAAAAAAAAATATATATATATATGGTATATAATGGATGGAATGCGAAATTTTATTTAGTTTTTATAAAAATACTTTATATGCATTATACATATGTATTTGTGAATATTTATATTTTTCAAAACACGATGTTGTACTTAGCAGATATATTCATGGTCATCTCTCTAAGGAATATATCGTTCTTAATCTATTAACAATTGACAAAATATCGACCTTAATAACATAAATGTGTTAATATTCGAAATATTATAAATAATAAAGTTATATGTATATATAAATGTAGGTTTATAAGAATAAAATTAAATACAAATAAAAGTAAGTATTGTGTTTTAAACAATTAATTTAATGATTATTTTCAATTATCTGTGCCTATAGCGTGTATACATACTCGTAAATGTACAACTAATCTTAATCAGTCTATAAAGCTGGACTTCACGCTAACTTTAATTACAACAATACATACTTAAGCGATTTGCGTTAATACATGAATATCAGTAGAAACATACATATATTCATATATATGTATGTATTTATATGTGTGTAAATTCTTTAGCAATAGTTATATATGTATGCGCTGCATATTTGTTACATATACCGAATTAGGAAGCATTCCTACGCCAAACACAGTATCTTTTTCCATAATGGTGGCGTTGGTGTGGGAGGCAATATAGTTGGTGTCAGTCCTTCCCAAATTGCAGTGTCGAAGACTTCTTTGACTTTATCCTGTAAAAAAAATGAAAATTAAATCCAATATGAATAAATTAAATTATTGAATAATAATATTAAACAAATTTATTGCATTACTATAAATATTGTCTTCTTTGCTTTTGTGAAACTGCTTATGAGTACAGTTATATAATTATTCGTAAGAAAATTATCCCACCCACCGAATAATATAATACTAATAGAAATATTTTTGTTTTATTTTATTGAGATATTTCACGCTAATATCGTTATGTGCAATGTAAACTCAGGCAAAGGGACGAAATTCAACATATGGGTTTTATGTCGTTAAGAAGAACACATGTTATAATTTTATTGAAATGACTAACTATTCTACTTAATCCTGCCATATGTTATGTTACATGGCAGTGTTTAGGCAGTTTTAAAAATTAACTATATACATAAATACGTAATACATTCTTTATTAGACTTAATTTTTTTTAATAATGCATATATGTATATGAGCAATTTTGTTTTCACACAATCCCTCAACCGTTTCGGCCATTGATCAATAGCAGTACACACAGCTTCTATTGTTAAATTTCTGCGGTATATTCGACAGGCCATGTTCACCAACTATGGGTCCAAACTGTAGTCCAATGGATTCAAATCTGGACTTCCAGACTACTCTCATCTGTAACAAGAAATATTGCTTTTAAGTCACTGCTGGATTATTGCATTGTGTGCTGGAGCAGATGCTTGCTAGAAGTTCCAATGCTTAACTGCTTTACCACGCCTTCTAAAATCTCCTGCTGATACATTTTTGCCGCAATTTTAATTCTTTTTCCCCTTTTAGACTTTGTAACAGAAGGCCATAACGCAACACTAGGTTTGGGGGCAGTGAATCGATTTTATCCATGCCAACTTATTATCCTTGAGATACCTCACATATTAATCGATACTTATATCTGATTCCTGGGGTTGGGGAAATTATAGTCCGGGGTTGGGTTGAGGTTTTAAAATTTTTGTATTATATATATTTTTATTGAATGCATAGTATTTCAAAAATGTTATGTCCAAATATAAGCCGATTGGTACAAAACTTCCGAAATTGCGAGTATTTTTTTTTTGAACTTTTTACATGAGGTTTTTAGTGTTCAAAGCTCTAAACCATTTTCCCCACAACTCACGTTGAATTCGTTTATCTACATAATTTCAAAACTACTGCACCTATCCTTTTGACATTTTAACACTATTTCTGTACATAATTCCTGAGGTATCGCCGGAGAGTTATTTTATTAATTATTACCCTGAACAGGGTATATTAATTTTGCCACGAAGTTTGTAACACCCAGAAGGAAACGTCGGAGACCATATAAAGTATATATATAAATGATCACCGTGACGAGCTGAGTTGATTTAGCCATGTCCGTCTGTCTGTCCGTCCGTCCGTCTGTATGTACGCGAACTAGTCCCTCAGTTTTTGAGATATCGATCTGAAATTTTGAACACTTCTTTTTCTCCCCAAGAAGCTGCTCATTTGTCGGAACGGCCAATATCGGACCACTATAGCATATAGCTGCCATA